TCACAACAACATATTCTCTTGGTAATTCACATGATAGTTAAAAACTTTTTAATGTTCTAAGCAGAAAACAATCACCAGCCCCTGCCCCCCGCAAAAAAAACAAACAAAAAGAACCTCCCAAAACCCATCATAAGAAAATACTTTACTGTTAACTTTATTCCGTTAATTTGGAAGATATGAAATTTTGACGATCTTTGCTACAAACGGAACAAGTTCACGAAGTTGATGGCTTATGGTTTCTTGAGGTTATATGATTCTTTAAGATACTCTAGTTTGACTAAAGAAGAAAAGCTAGAAAAAAGTAAATAAAGCAGAGAAGATAGAAATTGTTATAAACAGGAAGAGTTAGAGATCTGTGTGCAGTCGCAGGGCCAGGATCTCATTGCAGTTACAGAGACATGGTGGGATAGCTCACATGACTGGAATGCTGCCATGGATGGCTATGTGCTTTTTCGGAAAGACAGACCAGGAAGACGAGGTGGTGGATTTGCTCTTTATGTGAGGGAGCAACCGGAATACATGGAGCTCTGCCTAGGGGTGGATGAAGAGCAAGTTGAGAGCCTAGGGGTAAGGATTAAAGGGCAGGCTAACATGGTGGTGGGGGTTTACTACAGGCCACCTGATCAGGAAGAGGAAGGCCTTCTACAGACAGCTGGGAGTAGCCTCACGATCACAGGGCCTGGTTCTCATGGGAGATTTCAACCACCCTGACATCTGCTGGAAAGAGAGCACAGCTAGGCACAAACAGTCCAGGAGTTGAGGGTAGCCTTGGCTGCAGTGACTCCATCTGGTGGAGTTCAGGATCCTACGAGGAGGGAGCAGGGCAATGAGTAAGATCGCAGTCCTGGACTTCAGGAGAGCTAACTTTGGCCTCTTCAGGGACCTACTTGGAGGAATCTCATGGGGTAGGGCCCTAGAAGGAAGGCGGGTCCAAGAAAGCTGGTTAATATTCAAGTATCACCTCCTCCAGGCTCAAGATGGGTGCATCCCTCTGAGGAAGAAGTCCAGCAAAGCAGGCAGGAGACCAGCCTGGATAAGCAAGGAACTCCATTCAGAGGGACCTGGACAGGCTGGAGAGTTGGGCCAAGGGGAACCTCCTGAAGTTCAACCAAGGCAAGTGCAGGGCAACACAGGGCAAGAAGAGGTAGAAGTAATACCAAGTATTAGACCAAGAAATATAGCAGGCAGAAATTGTCCAAACTCTCAAGCATGCAAACCTCTTCAGGTTTAAAACAGAAGCAGAAAACTTGAAAGCTAAATTCTCTTTGAGAACAAAAAATGCTCTCTAAATTTTATATAGATGTGTTAATCAGATCATCTAAGAAACAGGTAGTTGATCCCTGCAGAGCAAGAAGAGGATATTAGTAACATGGGTTTTTCCTAACGGAAGGAGAGGTAGATATTTTTTCACCTCTGGAATTTGGAGAAGTTCATGGGGAGAAAAGTATGTGTTAGAAACCAGTGTTTCCATAGAATCCTTTTAATATCCAGTAGAGTTCTGTGTTTGAGTCAATAAGCTTGTCTTTTGAATGATTTTTGGTGATCTCCATTGAGAACCTGAACTGAAAGATCACAGATAGGGAAATGATTTAACAGGAAACATCGTCATTCTGGTAGCTGCTGTAGATCTGTTTTCAGTTGTCTGTGGGCAAGCTTGCTGTGAACTGCTAAATTTCATCCATGTGATTCCACAAGGACAGTTGCTGCACTGGGTAGAACATGCCGCATTCTGGGAAGTGGCAGGAGAGGAACCAGAGATTCTTATGGTTTCATGGCAGGGGCGTTTATTTAGGTGGTTTTGGTGCTATATGGACTAGCTGCTTGTACTATTGCTCGGAAGTAGACTGCCTTCATTCAAGACATCGGTGTGCGAGAAGCTGACCTGTGATGCTGACATTAGGGAGGTGTTACAGAGCTTTTGAGGCCAACATGAGGGCTGTGTGTCAGGATGTCCTGGAACAAAGGAAAGATCTTCATGCCCTGTTGCACATGAGTCTCCTGCTGCTCTGATGCTCAAGGAGAGTAGCCAAGCAAGGCATTTATATGCCTGTCTTCTCCTTGGGCTTGAGAGCGGATTAGTGTCTCTTTTCATTTCCCTAAACTAGATAAATGTTTCCTTTGTAGAATTAATTATTTTTTCATATGTATTAAAGAATAGTAGAGCTCCCAGTGCTGGGAGGGGCACCTAGTCTTCAGCTTTCGAAAGAAAACCAGGAGAAGATAGCAGAGCCACTTTTCTCTTTGACTGAGATGCTAGGATTTAACTAGATGGCCAGTATCAAGTCTTGTGATTTAATAATTGAATTTTCAGAAGATTTTTATAACAGTTATTATTTCTCATGGAAAATGTTGTTAAATTACATCTTATTTAATATGAACGGTATGTTGTAGGCCATTGCAAATCAAGCAGAAACTTGTAAAGAATTAATCTTTCTCGGAGTAAGATCCCAAGAGTAGTCATAGCTGTTAACAGTTTTCTTTGCTGTTTGTTAGAAAACCTGAAAAGAGCTTAAGTATAAGGCTACAAAGAAAATTGCTTGGACTAAGGTGTAATAAAACTAATAGTTACTTTTTTTTAACAACACTAATCAAATGTATCAATAGACAAACACAACTATCAACTGTAAGTGTGAGAATCAAAAGTAAATCTCTTCAGAGACTGTTAAGAGTAGTTTTAAACAGCTAAAGTAAATTATGCCTCTTATATGTTGTAAAGGCATGGCATTTGGGAAGTATTTTTAAAAGGAGGTGGATTTGGAAAATATCTGTATAAAAGAACGAGCTTACTAGAGCAATTTTCACAGCTTGTTATTGATGTATAGCTAACATAAGAATCTGAAACATATCATGTCTTCATATGTGGTGGCTATTAAAACTGCAAAGGCTAATAAGATTATTTTGAACCTGATTCTCAATTTGAAAGACACTCAGGGTTTTGCCTTTTTCAGAGCATGTAGGAATTTCTGAAGGTACATAACAGTAAAAAGTTAAAACTCTGACAGCACAGTTACAGAGAAGTTTGTAAGTTTTGTGAAGATGAAATCAAAGGTCAGGTGAAAGGTAATTACAGAGGATATAGCAGAGAACCAGAGCAGCAACTAAAATTCCAGCAGGAAAAAACTGTAAACATCTCACTGTACTTTTTTAAAATACATTTATTATTCAGTTAAGCTTTTCATGCATTTACTTAAAATATCAGATAGTCATAAACAAGTCTCTATATTATGTAGCCATAAGACTGCAGGTAAAAACTGAAACGTTACTTAAGTGGTTAGCAAGGCTATGAATGTTTTTCTCCAAGTTTCCATTCATGCATTTTGCATAATTATGGTTGATAAATTACATAGGAAACATATGAAGTGTACTTGCATTCATAATGCAACTGTTTTGAGTTAGTTCAAGACCCGTTCAAAGCCATTTTGTGTTTTGCTTGTACGTTTCATCTAAGGGCCATGGTTTAATGATTGTTATAATTTCACATGAACTTGTACCGCTGCCAAAGCGGGCAGTCCTACCCTCCCTCAGTTCCTAGCTGCTTGTTCCCAAGAGCCTCAGATGTTCTATTCCAGCTAAAAAGCAGTAAGAGGTGGAGGTGAGACCATTTCGGCACCTCACAAATGCTGATCCAGTACAAGTAAGGGATGAAAGCCAGAGGGAATACAGCTGAGAGAGCATCCTTTCAAAAATGGTCTGGATGTATTGGTTTGAAAGAAGTTCCTAACGGTGGCCCAACTAGCCTGTTTTTTAAGGGACAATGAAGCAGATGAATAGTATATAAAACTAGAGAAGTCTCAAGAATCCTGATTCCCTTTAATTTATTGACAGCCAACTGAAGGTGTAAATCATGTGGTCAGTGCCATGCCTTGTAAGAATGAACGCAAAGCATGATTGTTTTAGGTGATTTCTGAACAGATAATACAACAATCCTGAAAGTGTTGGTATCTACCTCTTTGTGTTTGTCTTAATGTTTTTATTTGTAAATATAATTTTCCTGGAGGTAGAAAGTTAATAGTAGTTGTAAACTAAGCAGTTGTAATAAGTGATATGTAAAACTGACATGGCAGTCATAAGTAGCTACTTAGTTTGCTTGGGCCAACACCATCTGCTTTTCACCCTTTTACTGGCATCCACTTATTCATTGCAGCAAATTCTAGCCTTTAAGACTCCTCACATGTACTTCTAACATAGTTCTGGTTCACTCATGAAATCATAGTTGAATTCCAGTCAGCCTGTGGTGATAATCCCATATCACCTAGTTGCTGGGATTTCATCTGCATGCTTTCGCCTATTTTGCCCTTCTGTTTTGGAAGATCATCTTTGTTCACCAGCTAGCTGATTATGTTTCTTCAAATGCTCCCTTAACTCTGCCTCTCTAGAAAGCTAATGCATATCTTGATAAAACCTAAATCACCCATCATACCAGTCAGTATGGTCTCCTTCTTTCCTTTTTGTGTGTGCTTGCATCCCTCTGCCTGTAGTCTTATGGTCTATGGCCTATGGTTCCTGAAGAAATGGTTAACAGAGGAAGTTGTTCTAGGGTGAAAGGTCCTCTGCCCAGAAGGGTGATGATGGCACGTCTCAGCTCAGCTTTGCTCCATCGCATTCTTCATCCCTAAAGATCCCCTGGGATCAGACTGAAAGTGGAACTGAGCAAGTTAGAAAAAGAAGGACACTCCTGCCTCAGCCCACAGTCTGTTAAAACCACACTTAAATTTTTACCTGCAGTGTGATAGTTGGAGGTACTGTAACAATTCTTTAGGAATGCAAGCGTTAAAACATTTGAAAAGAAATACCATTATACTGCTATTAGACATCTAATAGTAATGTTATGCCTAGAAAATAGCAAAAGGTTTTAAGTATTTTTCGCTCTTGACTTGTGAGAATGAAAAGCAGCTAAAGAAGCACTCAAATGTTTGTTTGTTTTTCTCTCCAGACAAAGACCCTGCAGTGGAAATTACTATTGCCGATATGTATCATTCCATATCTGAAACCAGTCACCCCTTGCAAACCGAGGAACAAGAAATGGGCATTGATCCTTTGCAAAGTTATTTGAACAAGCCAGAGCAAGGTGAGGTTTTTTTATTTCTGTACTTTTTACATTGTACCTAGAAACCTTACACAAGTGTCTCATGTTAGCTGTACCTGTCATAATTTATTTAGTTCTCCCAATGAAGTTGAGCAGGGCAACTTAAAGAACATTTCACAGAGTGTGTGTAGAGCAGTCTGACACTGAGGAAAACCACAAAAAGTCAACTTTCAATTACAGAAGGAGATGTTGGCCAAATGTTTAATGCGCTGCCATTCCTTTTTAATCATAAACCAAACACTGACTTCAGAATAAGAATGCACCATAGCTTTGTGTTGCTTTCTCAAAGATGGGCTCTTTTACACTGCTTTGGTTTTAAGAATTTTTTGTTTTACTTTTTCTTTTTATCTTCTGTTAAAGTTCAATGTGTTGTTTTAATGAGATTATGCAAATAAAAGGTTGATTTTCCTATTTTTTCTTTGAAACAGCAGCTATATTCTTATTTTAAAAAACAGTGGAAGTTGAGATAGAATGAACAGGCTCTAACGGTAAAAATTACTTTGTAACCCTAAGTAAATTAATTAAATGCAGTGTTCAGGAGACTCTAATGAACGGTGAGAACAAGCTGCTTGCATAATGCAATACTTGTCTGTGTCCCTTGTCTTTTCTACTTATTTGCTAGTAGTGACAGTGTAGTTGGTTAGAAGAAAGTAATAAGCTTAACAAGAAGCTTGAAACCTCATCCTTGTCATGAAAACATTCCTCAAGTACTCAGTTATATACAGTGGCACCTTAACTACCTGTAATTTTCCAGTCATTGAACACATGTACCAGGAGAGCAAAATAAAAAATTTATTTTAAATTACAGAGTTGGAACAACTTTGTCACATTTCCTAAGTCGCTCACCCAGATCAACCATTCTGTGTGGGTGTACCTGTCTATAAATCTTCTGTCTACTAGTGCTTATTAAAAAAGCTATGTCAAGTTTTACTTAGTCAAGTTTATTACTTCAGTTTATAAGAAACTGATATTTTGCTTTAAAATACATCGGTACAACTTCATTGCTCCTTTGAGGTTGTTTTTTTTTTTCCAATTTTCCTTCATTGCTTTATAAAGCTTTTTCAATGATAGAAAATAAGAATGAACATCTTGGGGGAAGTATTTTAAAACCTGAAGATTAAACGGAATAGCTTTTCCAGGTCAGTGTTCCGCCTTAATTACACTTGACATCTTAACGATATCGAGCCCTTTTAGTTTGATAAACTAAATGCATTTTTGTACAAATTTTTAGAAACTCGAAAATAGTATTTTGTAATAACCTAAAATAATAACCATTTTCCAGAGGAAATATGACTGCCTTCTAGTCTGTGCCAATCAAGAAGAAGAAAAGCTTTTTCTTCCTTTTTTTTCCCCCCTTTAAAAATAAATATTGGTAATTCTCTCATCTCTGTTTCAAGGCAGATCAAGATTTTTACCCTGTTACAAAAACACTGTAAATTAATTTTACCCTTTATTGTGCGCAGAAGCGATTAGTTACCTTGACTGAAAAGGTTTCTCATTTTTATCCCAGCCTTAACATTTCTATGACATACAAAGTTATTAGTATTGAATTGATGTTTAAAAGTGCCATTAATTCATTTACCCCAAATGTTCATTAACAATGTAAATGTATGCTGATGTTCTATGAGACAAGGAAGTGACTAATGACTCTTCGCACTAACAACACTTAAAATGAATAGAAACTTTAGATAGCTAATCTTGAAGTAATCAAGACCCTCATTCAGCTTGGCATCTCTGTATGCTCTAAAACAGCTGTCAACTGTTAAAAATATATACACAACACACACATACGCACATGCGAAGATAAAGATATGTAAATACATGGTTCCCCAAGTCATAAAGGTTACCAACTATGGTACATTTTTTATGTTCTATCTATGTAAATATTTTATATAAAGCATCCATTTCATCTTCATAGCTTTTTTACTGTGAAACACTTACTGCATTTTAATTTGGAACTTTATAAATCCCAAATAAGTCTTTGAAGTTTTGGTATTTCATTTTAGATAAAGGATATGCCTACATGGAGTTGGGTCTTTGGGCATCAAAGCATACAGTTCTTCCTGCCCATCCAGCCTGTACTAGAAGTTCAGAATAAAGAAGCCGTCACTGCTCTGTAAATGAGGTGTCTGACTGTTGAAACAAACCACAGATTGGATGAAGAATTGTCTTCATTCAAACTGTGACATAGAGAGAGCCCTACTTTCATCTACCTATCTAGTTTTCTAACAGTATATGTGCACCATGCCTATGTGAAATATTAGAGAATTGCATGAATCCCTGTCCCATTAAAGAGAAATATTAAGTTCCTCTTAAAAATACCAGAGGATGTGCTTAGCAGAGAGAAGACAGAACTGTTTCCTTAATAGAGAGAAGATCTCACAGAGTAGAAATCACTTGAATTTAGTGAAGGCATAATGAGATCCAGTGGCTGAAAGCTGCATGTGAATAAATGTGTAAGTATTTTAGTGAGGACAATTTGAATGTTGGGACAGCTAGGCCAAAAAGCATTTAGGAATAGATGTTCCTGAATTTCATCATCTTCACTACAATATTTCAAGACTGAACACTTTTCAACTCAGCCTTAAATTTCAGGCTTGATACAGAATCTACTTAGTGAAAGTTTGTAGCCATTACTGTGGAGGTATCTTGTACCGTCTGCAAGCCAGTTGTGTATCATAGAAATTTGCAAGAGAGGCAGTCTGTAAGTTGGAAGTATTTTACACAATATTATAGAATGTCAGGACATCTGAATTTTTCTTTGAAGCTGTGCTAAATGTTTGAAGTATTGTTTTAGAGACTAAATGATAGAAGCGTTCACTGAGATGAGGTAGTAAAAATGAAGCATATCATGGATAAGTATGAAAATAAATCTTTAATCGTAGAGCTAGTCAGATTTGTTAACCTACATGAGGTATTCTATTTTGAGTGTAACTGATGCTGAAATTTACTGATGATGGAGAAACAGGAGATGTCATGTCTAGTTAAGATTTTGATATTGTCTCGCAAGGTGTTCTCGTAAAAGGACAGAAATCTGGGAGAGCATCAATTTTTGTTAAATGTGTATAAAGGTGGCTGGAAAACTGTATGCATAGACTACGTTTTGCTCATTTTCTGTCACATTGGAAGCATACATTGGATGGGATTCCAGAAAGGTGTTTGTCAGGTCTGGTAGTACTCAGTACTTTTCTTAAAATCTCAGGGAAGATATGGAAAGAATACGTGATTTATGTGCGACAGGGCTATGAGCACAATGGAGGAGAAACATACAAAAATTGAGTATGTTCTTGAGATTTTGGAGAAGTGACCTGAGAACAATAGGAGGTGGTTCAGTAGGAGCAGTTGCAGGGAGGGTTCAATGTTGCAGTTGCTAGGTAGGAGATAATTGGGTAGCTGAATAGCTAGCTAAAGTAGAGCACAACAGATGAAGTAACTGTTGTTTGAAGAAAGATCTGGGCATTTACAGCAATCCAAACTTTCGCATAACTGAGGATATTTGAATCCTGAGTTACAGCGAGTCATAAGAATGTGCTTGTTTACAGTTTTACAAAACTAGGGATAGGCTATTAACTAATTGATAGGCAAGATCTTTATCCTCCGCCTTTAATAGTTAAAGTATTCCAAAAAGCAGATATTTCAGCCTTTGTATGAGAGCTGATTTGGCCTAGTCAGCTCTCTAATAAATGCATAAATATTCCTACATTCTTTTCCTTATGTCCGATTTTTTTTCAAGAAAGAAAAATGAACGTGCATTGTGCATGTGCACTCATTTATGGTTTTTTAAATAACAAATCTGAGACTGGGAATGACACTTGCAATCTGATACTTCAAATGAAAGATTTTAGTTCTTTTAATAAATTTTTATTTTAGATTGTAACTTTCTGATCTAATTGTATTTTAATTTACAAGCATTTATATGTGCATGCATTGTTAAGGTTTATTGTGAATATAATAAGTAGGGGTTTTCTTGCTACTTATTCTGTTCTGAAAGTCCTCATGGCACTGTTCATTCTATTCCAATAATATTTTCTCTCTCAGATAGGGATCTTTATCAGAGAAATTTTTCTTATCCTTTTTATCTCCAGTGGACTCTCTGTAAGAGTTTCAGAAACTTTGCTCTTTTCCTTTCTCACTTTTTACTACATCTGGCATTATTTTGCTCATTTCCAGTCTTGAGGTTTATACTACGCTGAAACAGTGGAACTACTTCAGAGCTAGGGTAAATTTTCACTCGAAAGTTACAGCGTTCGCCACATTCCGACACAAGTTTTGAAGAAGACAGTAGGCAGTATTCCTGTTTCACTGATGTAATGAGAAAGTCGATCCTCTAAGGACAGGCTGAAACAATGCATTTAATACTCTTCAATTTAATTTGCTCAATATCACAATCAATACAATTAAGGTCACTTGAAATGAAAGTATTAACGAACTGAGTAATTTACTTCAACAATGTCAGTGTGTTCTCACAATTACATTTGCTTTAATTAGTGTACAAGTTATTATTTAATAGCATACTTCACATAGAAGAATGTAATGTGTTCTTTGTTCTTAACAGAAGAAAAGGGGAAACCTTAGAGGTGTGAGTGTTTTGGAGTTTTGTAGGGGTTTGTTTCTCGTTTTAAGGCTGTAGCTCGTGTGAGAAAAGAGAAGGGTGACACAGCTTGAAGGACAAAGATAACTGTTGCAGAGTGTGCCTGAAGTGAGTCCAGTTGAGATAGATCGGTTGTCCACCTCATACTTAACCACTGCGGCCTTCCTGATTCTCAAGGCTGCCATGAAAATATACGCGAGATGGTAAGAGGACAGTTATATTTCCATTTTGACCATATTCTGCATGCTCTCGTTGCTACTTTTCGGAGAATTTTACCATTCTGATATTAACCTCATGAACCCTGATCAGCAGAAAGTACTTTTGTAAAGAATTAAACCTTCGTGTGATTTGAAGTACTTGATTGATATCATTGCTATACGGAAAACATGTA